GTGATTAACTGGGCTGGGCCTTCGAAACCAATGGATAGAAAGCCCAAACTGAAATGAGTTTCTTTAATCAACAAAGGAGGCACCAGAAACCCAAAAGGCCCAATCCGTGTCGCTTCCAAGTTCCATCTTTCTTTTTGTTTTATCGAATGATTTTCTTTCTTTCCAAGTTCCATCTATTGGCAAAAAAAAAAAAATAAATAAATAAAAATTTCTCCTTCATTTCGACGCCATGGTTCCCTTTTGTGTTTATCTCTTTCTTTCTTTCTTCGTGTCCACTCTGTCTGAGGTGGGTGTTCTTTTGGTGCTTGCTTAGGCCACCTTTACACAGTCCAATTATCTTGTCTGGGCCGAAAATAGGAGTATAGGGAAGGATCGATGAACAAAACCTTTAATTACAATATCATTAAAACCTTGTCCTATATCCATGTTTATGATTTGTTTTTAATCTCTTGTGGTTTGTGGGAACAAGAGAAAAGGAAAATGGGGATGGGAGTAAAAGGTGGTGGATAGATATCAGACATCATGCTCCAACAAACATGGTTTTGTTAGATGTTTTGGGCTAAAAAATAAGCACAAAGTGGTATGGAAAAGTTACCTTACACTCTGAAAAATTCTAGGTAAAATGTCTATAGTCTACTACTATGACTGTGATGATGAGTTATAGAGAAGTTAAGGAATTAAATAAAGTGCTTTAATTTTAGGTTGAATATGTCCCCTCTTCTTCATTCATCTCTTTATAAGAAACCCCTTTTTTCCAACTCGTAATTAAAAGATCGTTTCATGTGTAACTGTTTAAAAGTTGTTAACTTTATCGTGTGCGAGACATGTTGTATAAATCAAATATCAATTTTGCATTGTGCATAAAAAGATCATAACATACAACTTGCTCAGACCGCAACATCGTACAACTTCAAAGTTGGATCTGCGTTGTTACACAACTCGGTCACGTCAGCATGTTATGTAATTCCACATATATAACTTCTAGGTCCATTCATTCACATGCCAAAGTAACTACATTAATCATACCTACCTACTATAATTAACAGCCTCTTAACGTAATATTTGCTTAATTAACTTACTTGACACAACTTTATACACGTTTTGAGTATTTTGATTTGTAAAGTAATTGATCAGTATTATTGTTGAGACAGAATATCCGAAAATAGAAGTGGAAGAGAAAGATGGGCCAGAAAATACAAAATAAAAGGTTTGGATGACGTCAGTAATAATGGCCTTTCTTTTCATTCTCCATTACATTTGATATGATACGATGAATGTGTATATATAGAGTGGCAAATTAAAAGATGGCTTCCTCATGCTGCCTGTCATCCAACTTGGAGTACGGGTTGCCTCCTTTACATCCCAATAAGCAATATAATCCTAAAATTATTATTCAAATGGAAATAAAATAATAACTAATAAATTGATTTTTACAGAAATTTTCGGATTGAAAAAAGACTAAAAAATGGATTTAGCAAAACAAAACAACTCGATGTGGTTGGGTTTTTTTTTTATGCTAATTAATAACAGTTTTTATGAAAAGAATTATCAAAAAATTTATTAATAAAGTGGTCTGAAAACTTATTTACGTAATTGATGAATGATGATGATGATGGTGGTGGTTTTATTAGCTAAGCTATCACAAGAAAGAAAGAAAGCCCACAAAGTGTGCAAAGCAAAGCAGGTTATTATTAATAAAAAGTGCCAAACTAGTGACGTCACACCATTATGTGTTGTTATTCATTCTGTATTTTGTTTTTATCCCCTTTTTGAACGAACGACAGATCTGCTGGGAAAGAAGAAGTTGGTTGGGGTCGACCAAGCTTAGCTTGCTTCTTGATAATCATTATTCATTACCAAACAATAATATTAATTAACTCAAATCCAGAGTAGTGTTTGTTACCGACTTCTCGTGAATAAGATGTTTTCGAAGAATCCATGTAAACATAATCCACGTACCGACTACTGAGCAGTCCTCCAAATAATAAGTTTGCTATAGCATGCCTTTTCGGTTTTTTTCATTTATTGTCGATATGCAAGATTTTGACGGATATTCTTAACACTCAATAAATAAATTTAAATGAGAATTGATAAGATATTATGTGTTTGTGGATTTATACTTTCATTTTTTCAAACACTAGTATAAATTCTTTTGGAGAATTAACTTATTCGTGTATTACATGATAAGAAATATACTTTATTATCAAATATCGTTTCTTGTCCCGATGACCTGAGTAAGAACGAAACTTATGGTTAATCTTGTCCAAATCCAAGTAAAATCATTGATTATGAGTAGAATAAGGGTGCAATATATGCGTTTGATGTTTTGTAGATGGATTTCAGAATATGAAGATTCCTTTTTTTATAGGATTGACATAACTTTGAATGACTACGTGTAATGCCTCACCGGTTTCCTGGTAAACCTGCACCACCACAACTTAGATTCCATAGCAAATCCATGGGTCAATTCAAGCGCACAGTCGAATTCGTATCTCTAAAATTGAGCTAGCTAGGTCGTCAAGTAAAAGGAAGGACGAAAGTTGTGTGTATGCAATCTCTTGGTCCTCCTTTTCTTTTAGTAGGCTCCTTAAGAATAATAATAATATTCTTAAAGCAAAAATAGTTATAAGATTCTTTATTCCTGCAAATTAGTACTGAAAAAGAAAGGACATGCAACAGGGGGGAAAAGGGGAAATTGTCCATTAAATAACAAAAGCGGGAAGCCCTTTAATTGATGCCTTTGCATTCCTTGTTGCTCATAAAACAGTGTGCCCACTGTCACTTACATAGACTTTCGAAACTCGCGCGGCGTCTTGAGTTGCACTCGTTTCTCAAGACCAGCCTCTCCGCATACGCATGCCAATTAGTTTCGCTCTGCCTTGGGCTCATTATGGAGACGACAATAACCTCCGACCAGTTGTGCCTTCGGTTGCAACGATCCCCGTCATAGCCACATCCTGATTCGGCCAGAACGATGCACAGACAGACAACGCCTTATCGCTAATGTCGCCCTCTTTACCCCTCTCGTGGCAAGACAACCAGATAACACCATTGAATTGAGCCACAAACAATCGAATTTGTGCTTGCCGGTGCAACCAGAAATATCCATCCATCCACCCACACAAAACAAAACAAAACAATTATCGTACATAATTATACAGGTTTTTGTAAGCATACACAGTGATACACTAGTATAATTGGATTGAAGACAACGGTTGTTGTGTACAATCCAATGACATAAAAAAAATCCTTGTAAGTAGTGGCGGATCCATGAATTTTTTATAGGGTGCCCTCTTCCAAATATTAAATTAAATTAAATAATTCATAAATAAGAAAATATCTGACTAGTTCAAATATATCATATTAGACAATAATTCACGAACCGATCGCGTATTCAATTTTTAGATTGTTCCTCATGTAACTCAAACTTGAAAGACTCTTTAAACTCTTGCACTATACCTATAAAATCAATTCAAATTAAGGATAGCTCGAATGAGTTTAATTGTTAGGTTTTGAAAATAATTGGAAATGAAAAATAGTGTTTTTACTATAACATAGTGTTTAAAATAGAGCAATAAATGAGTTGCAACCTAGAGAATATGTTTAATAATAGTAGTGTCCTAGGTTTGAATAACATAGAGTACTACTTATATATTTTTAATCATACGCAAACTACTACCGAGGACATGATAATCGTTTTTCAAAATTTAAGGGTGTCCCGAATTACCAATTGTAATTTTTTTGTATCCATACGAAACTACTACCAGGGGTTGGATAATCGTTTTCTCAAAATTTAGGGGTGTCTAAAGGCCCATGTATCCGCCACTGCTTGTAAGCATCGTAGTTATGTTAATTAAAGAAAAAATATTTAATTTTCTCTTAAAGTGGTATTAAAATATATTCCAGACAGTGAGTAGAATAGTGTTCAATCGTACACTCGTGGTTTAACCAGTAATATATATTAGAGTATGTGTAGTACGAGTAGTATTGTGTTATACTGCGAGTACTGTTATGTAATTAAACAAAGTTATATTTCTTATTAGAGTCGTAGACGTTATGTAATTTCCATATTAGTGTTAGGGTTGTGCTCTATATAAACCCTATGTGGTGTCGGTAATAATACACAACAATTTCTACCGTATTCTGATTTACCAACAATATACTGATAGGATATTATTATTAAAATAAGATAATATGTCCAATCGATACTATAACGGCATAAGATTGATCAAAACTTGTCAACCCATGCATACTCTTTTTTTTATAAATATGTATGTATTCGGTCTCCTAATTATCGATGGACAATTTTTATGGTCATACCGTAATAGAGAACAAATACCAAATGGCAATAAGATTTGGATTGGCGGAAGGAAAGGAAGAGTAATAAACTAGTGAAAATAAAATCCAGAAAGAATCACATTTGGCATTCCGACGTGGATCGGTCGTTTCCATAATGGAGGAATATGGGTTTTGATTTTTGAAGCAGCATGTGATGCTTCAATCGTAAGTGGAATGCAGACTCAGCTGCGACTATGAAAATGATGATTAGTATGGTCAGCTTTCTTTCAATTCGATGCCCTTTCTTTTCAATTTCTTTACTGGTCAACTTGGCCACCTTGGCTTCCATCCATAATATATCAATTACTAAACACGCACAAAAAAAACCCCCTAATAATCACTTCACTACAACCATTCTAATTACCTTTGTGCTCCGATTAGGTACAAATCATTTTATTTTTTTAGGGTACCAACGACACACGTGTACAAGAACATATATAGTCTTTAGTCCACAAACAATCAACACTACTAGCTAATACAGTGATCAGAAAGAAATTTAGAAATAATCTAATGTAATTACATAAAGAAGAAATCTAATGAAAAAGTTGTCACTGATGACGGTGCTTGCTTGGCCACATCAGGCTGAAGACGCGGCAGATTAAAAGCATGTACTACTACTTTCTCTCTAATATAACGATGGTTTTATCATAATATGTGATTTTCTCGGGTAATAAATGACGTTTCGATCTTAATAAACCAAATTTTGGGCACCAATTTCATGCGGACAAGAAGAAGGTATGGCATCCGAGCTACTCAGAGCGGATACATAGAAGATCGATCATATCATGCATATAGAACTAGAACATTTATAACATATTTGACAGCTTGTTTCCGCATATAAATTCTAATTAGTAAAAAAAAAAAAAAACAGAGGCGGACAATCTACGGAGCACTCCGGAGTCCTTCTTAGCTGCGGATTCTTCGAGCCGCCGAAAACTGGAACGCCGCCGTGTGGCGAGCGGCGGCGGCTGCATACAGGTTTTGGTCATAGGGGGACGAACCCATCATGAACAAGTCGGCGTTGGGATGGTGGTGGTTCCAGTCCATCCACGCCAGTTTGTGCGGCGGCGGGGAAAGCAGGTGATCGATGTGCGGCGTCGACGACGATCTCTTGTTGCCGTCCGAGAATAAAGTACCATGGTTGTTGTTGTTGTTGTTGTGGTCGGCGACGGCGGAGGAGAGATTGACGGTGGTGATGTCGTGGATGCTCGGCCTCCTCTTGTCCTTCACGCCGGAGAGCTGTTGCCTGATGAAGTACTTTTGGGCATGACTCGCCACTTGAGTTGGCGTCTTCGACACCACGAAGTTGCGTGATATGTTCCTCCAATCCCCTTTCCCATACTTCAGCAGCCCTTTCAAGAATCGCCTGCCAAGAGAACACAAATTCAACCCATTAAACCACAAATTTATCAACGGAAATTTCGAGCTAACGAAATCGAAGAACAAGTATCGTTTGCGTACTGATCTATCTTGATGAACAAAAATTGAATATACAAATAAGTTCAACAAGTAATGAAATTTAGTCACATAAGTAAGGTGTATAGTTTGACTAGGAGAAATTTGTCGATTTGACCTGAATAATTACTTGACAATAACGATTTAATGTTTAATAAATATAAAATTTTGGGGGAAGTGAAGAAGAGTGAGTGACCGGGGCAATCCAAACCTGTGCTCGTCTTCAGTCCATGGGACGCCCTTCTTGCGGCCCTGATCGGAGGTCTTAGTGGAGCCCATGGGCCGCTTTCTGAACGAATCGACGAAGTCGGGCCCGGCGATGAGGTCCAGGCTGAAAGCCGGGTCGTCGTCCGCGGCCAGGTAACCGGGGATCGGGACGCGCCCAGCTTCGATCTCGCACACGTCTTCTTCCAGCTCCCTGTACTGTTTGATCACATCGGAGACCGATTTCCCCGGGATCATGGCGGCGACTTTGAGCCAGCGGTGCGGATCGTGCTCGCCGTAGAGAGCCAGAGCGCTCTCGAAGGCCTTGTTCTCTTCTCTGGTCCACTCCGAGCTCTGGCTGCTGCTGCTGCTGCTGTTGTCGTTTAGCAGGTGGTGGCTCGACATGTAGAAATGCGGGTAAAGGGCTTCCATGGCTACCGATTCGTGTTTATGCGTGTTCTTTTGCTCTCTTTTGGTGGGTTCAAAGAAGGAACGGAGTCTTCATGGTGAAGTGTGGGAAGTGGGGATTTTTATCAGTTTCTGAGTCGGCAGAAAACAGAGGAGGGGGGCTACTGAAGAATCTGCCTTTTCTTGTGTGGAGAATCTGGGAAAAGGGGAATCGAGGGAGGGGGGATTTCAAAAGGAGAATAAAAATCTCTATCTCTTTGTGTCGATTTCAACCTTAGGAAGGAACCCAGATCGGGAATTGAGGTGAGATTTTGTGGGGGAGGTAAGAAGGGCAGAATATGAGAGGAAGAATCCAGGAAAAAAACAGAGTCTTTGATTTGGGCGGTTTTACAGTGGAATCTTTGATTGGGGAGGAAGAATTGAGATGTGGGTTCTGGATTTCTGTGTGTGGTGGAGATGGGATCGAAGAGGGAAGGTCGGAAGGTCGGGAAGAAGAAGGCGAGGAGAGGAGAGGAAAGGAAAGGAAAGCAGAGGTTTTTGGCAAGTGGGAAAGGTGGCTGCTGGACATTGGAGTGGGGAGTGTTTTGCCACTATATAACACCTCTATTGCAAGCACTTGCTACTGTTCTCCCTTTTTCTCTCTTTTTAATTTTAATTGAGGAAGATGACAACTGAATTTTCCATTGTAGTGTTCTTTTTTTTAATGAAGAATGGAGATCTCTTTCGATTGACGTGAATACTTCGGTAAACACTCACAAAATACATAACTTCATAGTTTATTATGTAAGTCTATATGGAAACTTCTAGGTACACCTTTACTGATATTATTAAACTATGGTGGTATTTTGATGAATTGAAATTGTTGATTGTTCATTATAATTAAATAAGTTTTAGTGGTTAGGATTGAGTGTTGTAGGATATAGAGTCGAGTGTTAGTGTGTACTGTGTAGCGCTTGTAAAAGGTTATCTTGTTAGCGGTATAACTAATAATTGAACTGGAATTGGTGGTTAACGGTTACATCGATAATCGATTAAACCGTAAATGACGATTCTCCCAAATTTAGCTAATTACTAAACGACGGATAGACGGTTAACCGATTACGTCCATTCTCATAGTTAGGGTTGAAAATAATAGGCCTCGATGAGCCGCAGACATAGGCCGAAAATAATGTGATGTTTGAAGGCGCCTACAAGACCACTTGCCTAGCCACCCTAGTTGTAATAGTGACATAGTTTCAAATGAGAATAATTTCAAGGAAGGGCTTTAGAAGGAGCACAATACAGAAAGTTGGACTTGTGCACAGTAGCTCGACGACAACAATCCGTAACATTTCACCTTCCATGTAATTTGGTGGGGTTTGTGGGTTGAGTAATTGTCGTCGGGTCTATTATTCTCGTTTGTTTCTTTAATCAAATTTGACAATAAAATGGTGTTCTTGTTTACTTGTGTTGGATTGAGTTGATTATGAATTGATATCTATATTAAATTAGATTTTAATTATACAATAACAATTTAATTATTTTGTATGTGGATTGATAACCTAAAATAAAATATTAAAGAAATTACAGTTGATGCTGAATTATACGCAACTCCAACACTAATTAAAATATTTGTCCAACCTTGTATTAATACGAGGGTCAAAGAGTATGTTGATTGATAAAATTCTTATACAATATATTCTAGAATTTTTCCTTATACGGGTCAGTATGGAGGTCATAATCTAAGAACACACGTATCCAGCTAGCTATATACTACTATGACGACCAAGGCGGCAGCTAAGTTGGCGCGAGTTATGTTTTGTTTGTGGCATTGGAGCAAATCTTGGTTTGTGACGTTTTGAAAAAACTTGCCATAGTTTTGTTGTTTTCAATTTGGGGAGTTATGGTCAGTCGACTTCTTCAATGGAGAAGATGAAAACGACTTCCGATCGATCTCCGGCGATCCCTCCAGTTTGAAACTTTCAATACTGCAATAGCTACCTAGTTTTTGTTGCACCACACCAACACATACACATGAAGACAAAAAGGTTCATCATTTTCACTTCATCATTTTCCTTTGGTGATGGGTCATTTCAGAAAGAGTTTTTTCACTCAGGTACGTGCATAGTCATTTTTAAGTAGGTAGAGATGTGTTTTTTTTACTTATAACGAGGGAAAAAACAACAACGAGCAACGATGATTGATACTATCTACATTGTTATCTTCATTATTCAGGTGGTGTTGCTTGAAAAAAATCGTCCAGCGATCAAGTTATACATCCAATATTTTGTACGTGTTTATTCGATATTAAGTGTTGAAAGTTGAAACACTATTGGAGGCCCTTGTAATTGTGGTCGCCGATGAGTACTGCATTTTTGTCGTCACATTTATTGTCATTGCTCATCATCTGTCATTGTTTATAAGGTCACTCCACCCTTCCCTCATGTGCCTAATCTTCTTCTTCTAGTTCACCTAATTATCGAAGTTAATGAAATCGCCCATCCAATATTTTGTGGATTGGCATGATGTGGATGGGCATGATACTACGAGGATTGTGAAACTGATTGAAGATAATCAACAAACAATAAGGTATAGAAGAAGTGTCGTTCTTTTGCTTTATCTTCACTATATGTACAGTTTTGTGACTTTCATGTGTATGAAAGTTGTAATACAAATGAATTTAGAATGCTAGTAAGTGGAGTATACTCCAGATTCCGGTACCTAGTTTGTGACTCTAACAAAATTATGAGCAGCTACAACCTCAAAGTAAAACTTTTGTCTGAATGCATCTTTTTTTAAGTCAATAAGCGATCTTTGATGTCGTTCTCTAACCGCGTACCTCGAATTATTTTATCAATCGAAATCCAATAATAATTGAGTGAATTCAAATACAGTCGAAACGTGCTTGTGGCTCAAAAGGTTATGAATTTCAATTAGTAAGGTGTGTACTAATTGATAACTAATCTCTTAATGTAGGTAAAACTTCCCCATATCCCTTGAATTTGTTGTCAATCATTTCTCCCGTGAATCTTTGCCCATACCTATCTTTGCTTTTAATTCCATTATTAGTTTATTACTTTGTTATTATGCACATAAATTGGCAGAAGGACAAGGAGAAAAGGAAAACGAATACCCCAAACAATCCCCTCCTTGTGCTTTTGTCATAAAATGGGGAAACGCAAACGACAAAGAGGCCCCAAAAATGGAGGGACCCGATTTTCACTTCCCTTCAATTGGAAGAGTGCAATTTTACAAACAGTTACAGCCATTTCCCCCATTCACAACTTGCAAGTGTATGACTGAATCCCCTGTTTTACACTAAACAACAAACCTCTCTCCAATTGCTTGAAAGAGAAGGGTAGAGACAGAGATGGAGAGAGGGAGCCATGAAAGTGGCAAAACCCTAACTTTGGTGCAACCCTTTTTTTATTTTACATTCTTTTTTCTGTTCAACTTTTCCCTTTGGTGGTATAACTCCAAAAACAGAAAGGGGAAAAAGATTTGTGAAAGGCAAAAAGGAAAATCAAAAGGTTATTATTGGGCTTCTTTCTTTTTATTTTCCTTGTGTCCAATCATTGTAATTTGTAAGCCCTTTTTTTTTTGTACCCATCACCTCAATCATCACATCTCACTGAAAAAGAAGGGGGGAAAAAAAAGATTCCCAAAATCCCAAGTCCCAACTCTTCCATAAGAATTTTGAATTATAATAAAAAAATATAAGATGTATAGTTTATTAGTTTTACTCACTCCCCTACTACAAAGTACAAACCTCCCCTGTCTGTCTACTAACCCTACTCCAACTGTCTCTTTGTTGATTCCTGAATTCTGCAGTTCAGCCTTTGTACTTTGTAGTATTGTGGGAGGTTAAAGAAAAACTCATTATGGACCTTTTCCATTCTCCACCTCCAAATGGCAATGCAAAAACCATACACCTACATCCACATCACATCCAAACACACAATTAACTCGTATATTTGTAAATTCGTTTCATACGATTTTATAATCCTTGCTTTCTGTACAAGTTTACAGGCAGTAATGAGGAAAATATGTGAAAATCTTCAATTATTACAACTCGAAAAGGAATTAAATTCATCTGGATTATCGGCTCCGAACCGGATCGTGTGTCCATCTTCCGGTGGGGACACTCATGGTAATTCCTCTGGACCGGATCAACCAAATTGAAGCTGATGGGATCTTTACCCTTGTCGAAATTCCTCATTCTTTTTCCAACCACGAAGAAATTGAGTTCCATGAAGATGGATGGGATGGCTCTACAGACTACACCACCTGCATTTATCTTATAGCATCTCAAACCCAGCCACAGATGAACTCTATGTTCATGCAGAAGACGAAACAGTAAGTTGTACTTAACACTGAATGTGTGCTTTCCAACAGCAGAATGAACCAATGCTGGGAGAAGGACGAGAATCAGCAGCAGCAGCATCGTTCCAACCGATTGATCGATTTCGTGATATTGGCTCTGCCTCTTCCCCTGCAGGCTCCTCTGGAGATTTTCTACTGCAACGAGGGGAAGTGTATATGTTTCTTCCTTTTTAAGAGGGAACACAAATCTGTGATTGACCACCTTATATCAGTATATGGTTATCAGATGTGCTTTGCTGAAATGTCTTTTCAACTTGTTAGGTGAATGACAGTAGCCCTCAGCTCATACTGTAGAAAGAGAGGCAGAGCGATTCTATATTTGTCCAGTTTTCTTGTATAATACACAGAAATGTTCTTTTGTTCTTACTTTTGTATGGATGGCATTGTCAAATTGACTGAAACCCCATCTGCAAATTACAGCCCAGCTGCAATTTCTTTCAGTTTTTTGTTCTTCTTGTTCATATCGATGGACTAATCTCTTCGGAACCAGAATTCAATTGTTCATTTCATTCATTTGACTGAGTGCAACATTCTGTCAAAAGGAACCTACACTTCCAGAAGCCTATGCATTGGAAGCACACATTGACGTAGTGAGGAAATGAAAACAGAAAAGAAATTGAAGAAGAAACTAAAAGGTGCCAGATATACAGATATCGTGGTTAAGAAATGGATTTCTGGAACTACTACTTTTGGCTTACAGCTTTATACACTTCTCTGCACCTTCTAACACGTTTTCTCCAAGGGCTTGCCTTTTTCCCAGGACATCCAACAAACACAAGTTCATGAAACAACATGCACCTGTTTTCATGACATATCACTGTTTATGGCAATGTACAATATGATAACCACTAAAGTATTGTGCTCTCGGCCTGTTTGAAACACGAACCAAGAAGACTGACATGTGTGCAACGCGTGTCAATAGGTGAGTGAACTTACAAGGGAGATGTGGTGTTTTTCTTTCAAGGAATTGTTTAGGCTAGGGTTGCTCCAGCTTGAATGGCATTACCAATCCTAGCAATGGTTTACTTATAAACAAACCCCAAAAAGTCTATAATATCATCTTGAGATACACCTTCCAAAGGGTCTATCTCAAATGACCAGACAACTAGTGTACTTGATCCTTGGCCCCCATAATCAACAAGCTTGAGCTTGTTCACAGAACCATCCAGACCAACATTGCTGGCTTCCATCTTGTAAGCATAGCTGTGGGATGATGGGTCAATGGAGATCAACTTCTCCTTGATCCATGATCTTTCACCATCTTCTTGAGGGAACATGAACCCGGAGACTAACCGCACATAACCCACCTGCCCTTCTTCTCCGGCGAGGTCTGTGCACCTCTCAACCATTGGCATCCACTCTGGGAGTCTCTTGGTCTGTGAAACCATGCCCCACACTTTGTCTATAGGTGCATCCACGATTGCTCTCACACTACCACGCCATTTCAAGTGTTCGGAATCGAGTTCCTGTGGTCAGGGAAAATATGAAATAATTGGTTTGCAGTAGCCAAGGTTTGTCAAGAAGAAAGAACATTACCATGGCTGTCTTGTCCCTCATCTGATATTGTACTGCAATTTGCTGTCTCTGTGTTTCTGGCTGAGGCACTCCCTGGCATTGGCAGGTAATCCTTATTGGGGATGGAACTTGAGGTTGCTAGCAGACAGAAAAGATTGATTTGCTCAAGGACGTACATAGTTTATGCTGATAAAAGCAGCATATGCTTTGATAATAACATAATGGTATTTGTCGAAATTATATGAGAAATGGTGGAAAATCCAACGCTATGGGAATCTTGCTTCAGAGAACACCATTTGGATTTGTATGAGTCATGTGGTATGATAATGATTTTCTTGCCTTCCTGGTCAGCTCTTCATTTGTCAGATAAATGTAAGGCATGCCCTTTGGCATATAGATCTCTATGTTTAAGCCAATGAATCATAGCAGAAGGACAAAATACCAGATCATTACTGCAATACACTTCCATCATATGTGAAACCATTTCAGTTCCATCTGCGACATGTGATCTGGCTGATATGCTAGTTATTGAGACAAGTTGTGTACAAGATAGTTTAAAATTTCTTGCTCGACAAAGCAGGAGCAGCTAGCAGTGGTATTGGAATGTTTTAAGCAGCAGCTCCAACAGGTACACCACCAGCCTCCTTGAGCCTCGACTTCCCGTATAGAGTTTCTTCAAACCGGATTATCTCCTCTTTGGACCCGTAAGCAACTTGAGTTCTTTCATCGAGTTCCTTGATCTCCTTGTCTAGAATAGATTGGTGGCCGTCACTACTGTAACCTCCAGCATTCTCAATCAAGAGCCCTAGTGGAGCTACCTCGAACAGCAACCTCAGCTTCGCCTTGGTAGTTGGCGATATGACGTTGGTGAAGATGCCCTTTTCTTTCACAATGATCTGATTAACATCCGGCACCATTCCTCCTGTGTATCTCAAGGTGTACTTCTCCTTGACATAGTAGTTGATCAGCTGCAATTTTCAAATGAAACAGAACAAAGTTTTTGATGAAATACACAAATCAGAAATTTCATTTCATGGCTGCAGAATAAAATGAGGAGAAACCTTGTCATAATCAGGATTGTCAAATGTTGCTCTCAAGTTGCCAGGTGAGAATAGTTTGCCTTCACCGATATCGGTGGTCTCCTTCACATGCTGCCATTTTCCTGTAACAGTGATCATGAACTTTGAGAAAGCTGCCATTAATTTTGAGAATCGAAAACATTGACAAGGAAGCCAACAAAGCAAACCTTCATCCAGAAGGAGGAACTCATGAGTGCCAGGGAAACCCTTGATTGCAAGAACATATGTAGTTCGAGGACCATAAACCCCCATGGCGGCAGCCACTTGATCTCCTCCTGTAACCCCAGTTAGCTTATCTCCTGGCCACACTCCAAAGATGGTGCCAACTGCAAAATTGGTGTCCACAATGCTGGATCCATCCAGTGGATCAAAGGCAACACTGAACCCACCTGTTTGATACCGTCGAAAATCGAATCAATCTAGATTGTAGTTTGTAAGTAGTTTAAAAGAAAAAAAAGTAGTTTAAAAGAAACCCTTAATAATGCAGAAGTTAGATACCTTCAACAGGTCCTCCCATGTCTTGAAGCTCAGGGACTTCCTCAGAGCAAGCATATTTACAGAAGTGAGAGTGCTCCAAGGCCTATATATAATAATGATGAGAAGCAAACGGAAAAGATAGGATCTTTGAAGTCTCAGCAATCCAAAAATTGGTAACTATTGTTCAGAATAAGTAGTGACCTCAAAGAGCAACTTGTCAGCAAGCATATCAACAGCAAGCTGCTCATCTCCAAAGGAGTTGACACAGGCAGTTCCTCCACAAGAAGCAGTCCTAACTTTGTATCCAATTGTCCTTATTGCCTCTCCCATGCAAGTCAGTACCCTCATCAGTCCCTTGTCTGTTGTTGCCTTCTTCAAAAACTCTTCCTGTTCACACAAACAAAAGATGTTTTTTTCAGGTTCCTTGATCAAAAGAGCAAGAAACTTTAACCCCAATTGGCTGGTCTTTTGACTTACCAGACTATCACCAATCTCACTTCTGGTGATAAGAGAAGTGCTCTTTGCCTTGGAAACCTTAAATGATGATGATGATCTTGGAACCAACTTCAAAGCTTCTCCAAACAGTGAGCTTGACTTCAGGCTCTGCATGAAAGTAATAACACCATCAGTCAAAAGCAGCTAATGAGTTTCCACACAATGAAAGAGCTTAGCTGACTAAAGGCAAGTAAAAGTACCCTGGAGCTGAAGGAAGGGGAGATGGATGAAGGAGAGACCAAAGATTTCGAATGCTGTGAAGGCATGAATACCCCACGACCACAGTAAGCTATACCAGTCTCCATTCTAGATTGGAAATCTCTGCAAAAACTTCAGTAAAGTTCCCCAAAAACACAGTGGCTGGGCTCAAAGTGCTTTTGGCTTCTTTCAGTTGCTCTGCAAGTTGGTTTGTTGGGGGAGGGGGGAGGAGATAGATAAGCAGTTCACTGTGTAATGACACGTGGATGATGGATGGGGTTGTGATGAACGGATAGCGCGGACTGGGGCGGCTTAAATTGCCATCGCTCAATGTATTTGTGGCTCTGCGTGCTCTAACCCCTTCCTCATAGAGATAATGCAATTGTGCCCCTTGCCCTAATTCCAGTATTAACGAACACAACCATATTTACGCTTTCGCTTGTCTATATGATGCGTTTCCACTTCTGTGTCAGTCTGCATTACGTAAGAAAGAATGCATGGCATGTAGTTCATTAGCAGCTAACTGCATTCTGGTATCTTCTTGGGCCATGTGCCAATCAACTTGCCATTGTCAGTTATCATAACCCCATACGCTTCATAAATACGTTTCAACCAAAACAAATCTGAACAATAACGTTATCAGCCAAATCCTGCATTTTTTGCTTCCAAGAATCTACAGTAACAGATATCAAAATCAAGTTGAAGCAAACTCCCCACGTAATCTTACATAGACAAATGCAGAACTTTGCCACAAGATATTGTTATTCATCCTTCGCTGCCTTAGTACACTTGACTGCAAGCCACGAGAATCAAAATTGAGTTCGAACTTCCGATTCACCCCATGAGTCCTGCTTTATAGCTTGGTGAAATCGGTTATGGAGTTGCTCGGATTCCTCTAACCTGCATGTGGATTTAACTAATTCAATTTCAGTCACAGCATCTGCATAACAGGGTATGACATCATCTAGCCAGGCCATCAATCACACGGTTTGCTCATTCCCATAGCACAGTTTTCCATACTCAGCCAGTTTAAAGCTCTGACCCCAATCACCACATTGTCAGGAAGACCAACAGTCCTGGCCAGTTCGGCAGCTGCTCCAATGTAGTTGTGGGGTGTCAACTCCAGCAGGTACGATTTAGCTTCTTCAGGCAGCTCCAGGCCTTCGATGAACTCTCTTATGCTATCTTTCGTGACATCTCTTCCCCTTGTCAGCTCTTTCAGCTTCTCGTATGGCTCTGGTACACCATATCGTCGCATCACCTGCAAAGATTCAAGCAGTGGATAGTACACAAGATGAGGAATTTAAAATGCATCGTACAGCTCAAGTCAGCAGTAATAGTGACATTTTGGCTGTGCATAGGATAAATGAAGTAAGCTTAGAGAAAGTAAATAGAAGTTTCATACTGTCTGTATGGGTTCTGCAAGCACCTCCCACCACTGGTCCAAGTCTTTAGCCAAGCGAGCTTCATTAACCTGACCAAACAAAGGCACTCATCAAATGGATAGCTTTTCCTACACAACCATGTTGGCACCTTTGAATTCACAAGCAGCGCCCATAAAAGAAAACAATTTCTGGGCCACATCAAGAGCCAGATAGCAAATGACATTACGAATGTTTTGATATTTGAGGCTAATCATCTCAATGCATACCTGAAGTTTTCCAATACCCTGCAATGTACTCTTGTAGGCCAAAAGAGAATGTCCCAGGCCTTCACCCATGTTCCTGAGAACAGTTGAATCGGTCAAGTCCCGCTGCAAAAGATCAAGAAGCTTGTAAGGTAAATGCTAAGGCTAGTGTAACTGACAACAAAAGCAGAGCAGCTAAGGCCTGTTTGAAGCTTGGAGAAGGTTCGCTCTTAATGACTACCTATATCATGTTCTCAATTTGTATAGTGAATTAGGATGTTATTATTCTGTCCTTAGATAATTATGACACGGTAATATACAAACGATTACATAAAGAAAACAGTGCATGAGTTCACCAATGGAAATGCACTAGTTGTTACCTGAAAACGTGAAATGGGCAACTTCTCACTTAGATGCGATAAGTTTCCATTAGCTTTCCCCAGATTACCTTCGCTGTTTTCAAAGTCGATGGGGTTTACTTTGTGAGGCATAGTTGACGACCCAATCTCACCAGCTTTTGTTATCTGCTTGATTTTAGTATAGAACACTGATCAGTTATACGATCCAAAGGGAAGTAACTAAATTGTCAAGTCAAAAGAACAAAAGCTTCTTTACCTGCTTGAAGTACACATTGGATATATACCCCCAGATATCCCTATCAAAACCAATCAATATTGTATTGAACAAAGTGATTCCATAAAAAAGCCTAGCCATATAATCATGCGGCTCAATCTGCAAGGAAAGAAAAGGAAAAGATAAGTAGAATTTTACATCCTAGAAGCAAGTCAAAAGAGACTCTAGATATCCCAGTATTTCTTTCATTGAATACCTGAGTAACATAAGGATTGAAAAATAACCCAAGAGATTCAACAAACTCTTTGGAAATCTGAGGCCAGTCAATGTCGGGATATGCACTAATGTGAGCATTGTAGTTTCCAACTGCACCAGCAAACTTTCCTTTTATCTTAACTTGAGAAATTTCTTGCCTTTGATCGCTCAGCCGGGCAGCAAACACAGCCATTTCCTTTCCCAATGTTGTTGGTGACGCTGGCTATAGGACAACGAATAACAAAAAGGTTCTCAAGCTTGGCACGATAAATTCAATGGAGTTAAAACAAACAAGAAGCTAATCCATGACAGAAAACAAGCTACCACTTCATGTATTATACCTGTCCATGAGTGCGAGAAAGCATAGGAATCGAAGCATATCGATCAGCCATGCTAGATATCTCTTTGATCAATTCGTCCATGGCAGGGTAAATGACACCACTTAATGCCTCTTTCAGCATCAATCCATGTGCAAGATTGTTTATATCCTCCGAGGTGCAAGCAAAGTGGAAAAACTCTGACACCTGCAATGTAAAATTATGTTAAAACAGACGTAACCCAAGTACCCACCACAGATGCAAACAACAAAATAATTCCTCGACGGCAACCATATTCCACCTTAGCAATCTCAGGATGTGATCCACATTTCTCCTTTAAGAAGTACTCCACAGCTTTCACATCATGGTTGGTCGTTCTCTCGATGTTTTTAACTTGCATAGCATCGTCCACACTAAACCCATCGATCACTGCTTCCAAAAACGAGTGAGCATCCTGGCTAAACTCAGGGACCTCCGAGATTTCAGGAATCTGTGAAAGCTTCAGCAACCATTTAATCTGAAACAGAACTAAACAATATTAACATCCACCCAAATCATTAAGTATCGATCAACTTCAAAAGCTTAGAAAAATTATGAGAAAAAAAGCACCTCAACAAGAACGCGGTAGTATATGAGACCATATTCGCTCATGTAAGGAGACAAGTCCTTCACTTTACTCCAGTACCGCCCGTCCAACGGCGACAAGGCCGTCAAATTCGAGAGCTCGAACACTCGGGCGTCGTCTTTCCTCATCTTCAACACCAAGAATGAACAAACAAGACTCAGAATTGAGGAAAATAAAAGACGATAAGCTAACTGGTGATTAAGGAGGGTAATATACCTTCGGTTCAGAGATGCTGCAAGAGCAATATCGGCGAGGAGAGGGAGAAGAGAAGCGGAGGAAAGCATTCGAAGGGAAAATCGAACTTGGTTTTCGGTGTCCCGGAGATGTCGGTGGAGCCAACGACGAGAGATGGCTGCTACCGTTGAAAACCCTCGAAGAAGTGCCGATCACCATTGATGGAAAACAGAAAGGAAGGGATAGATAGCTCGAGCTCAAGAGTAGAGTGTAGAATGTTAGAATTGTTTGCCGCTTCTTTTTCTTTTACCCTTACCCTCCCGGCGGCGCGAACTCTGCTGTTGCCGCGTTGCCGTCAAGCTAAAAAACCTAATTTGGTTTCCCATGGTGGTCCCACTGGTGAATTGTGTGGGCTACGGTTAGGTTTAGATTGGGCTGGGCTGGGCTAGGCTAGGCTCTCTGCGCTTGGATTTAAGCTCAATACTGTTCGAATCGTTCAAAAGATTGGGCTTTCATGTAATCCGGTTGTAGACTTGTAGTGCAGACAAATTGCTGCGGTTTGTAGCACATCTCTAGGTAGGGCTGGTTATTTGGTTCGAATTTTTTGGTTTTATCCGAAATTGGATCATATAATCTGGACCGAGATTGGATCGGGACGGATAATAAACAATTCAATATCATTTTCGGGCTTAGATTTTAGATAAAAAAATCGTTCAAGACCGGATCGAAAACCGGATAAAGACCGGATAAGAGAGCCCAACACCCAAAACTTAACCAACTCCTCACCCTTTGAGGCCTCATGTAACTCAAATCCTCATTCCCCACAAGCTCAATCTGAAATCAAGACCAAATTGGAACCGAATCGGGTCAAGACCAGACCGGATCAAAACCGAACTGAATCCAATTTTTGGTCCTTATATTCTCAAAAAAATCGGACCGAATCAATTTGTGACAATTTAACCGGACTATATAGCTACCTCTATCTCTAAGCTCATAAGAGTTTCGTTGATCTCCCATTTGCTTGTCTTGATTTCTCAGTGGGTTTGGCGATTTTGTTCAGTAAAAAATCCATATACTAAAGTAATTATGGAAAGCAAGCTAATTGAATATAGAATTCAAGAAAATTGATAATCACTATGCATAATTTATGTTCTATCATCAATTATCTCCAAACAAGAAATATCTTGTGGATAGATAGTATATTTTTAGAGGATCAGCATATAATTTATGCTACAAGCCAAACATAATTTTCGAAAAATAAGTGTCATCTGATTTTGAATCAATCACAATTTGACAATCTGACACACATAAAAGAGGTGTATTATTACAAAATGTAAATTAATAACAAAGTATATTAGATGATTTTGTGGGTCAAAAAGGCTCACATTCATCGAGCATATCCCACCCAAACACGTATTAAATGAATTATAATTGGACGGATCTGATTAGGTTTCACGGTTCACCATTCATTCCTAACTATCTCTATGCTTGTTAGTTTTCTATATAGTGTTTTGAATTTTGATTAGCCAATGAAAAAGAGAGAATTTACCCCTCCATATAGCTTGTGTGAAACTGACATGGAAAAAAATCTAGCCAGGAAATTGACAGGTAAACAGAGAAGAAAACCTAAAAGAATGTTTTAGAAGATGATGATTAGAGTGAGTTGGCTGCTATTAGTCGTTATCCGACGACGATGACCCCACTTTTAGCTGGAGGTTTCCCAAACCTTCCTTCCCAATAATGTTTATCGATTTAATCACCAAAACAAGATAAATTTTCAAATGCTGAGACACACCTAACACTTAACCGTCTAAATCCAAAACAAAGAAAGTAACTGTCTCAAACCAATCCAGCTCGCAAGAGTCCGGATCTGGTGACTAAGGGGGGTCCTTAGTCACTTGACTAAGGCCCCCTCAGCCCTTGGATTGATCTAATGGTCCAGATAAACCAATTAATTAATATTAAATGAGAAGGGTAGTTTTGGCATTATCAATATATTATTAACTCCTATTTTCCAGTTTTATTTTATTAATTATTATTGATTTTTCTCCCTTCTGCAACCGTCTCCTCCTCTTCCCTTTTCTGCTGCGATGTCCAAAGAGAGAGAAAGCCATGGAAACCGTCGCCGGAAAAGCTCCCCCGTCGGCGAAACAGAGCACCGGAGCAAAACCCTGAAAACCTCGGAGTTCCCGCCCCTCGCGGCGGCGTAGAACATGTCCGTGACGCCGTACTCTCCCTCGCCGAACACTAGAAACGGTTCTCTGTCCAGCAATTCGTCGACGAATTTCAAATCGCCGGCGGAGGCGGCCGTGTAGAGCAGCCACCCGCCGTACCGAGCTCTTACAAGGGTGTTGTAGCCAGGGCTCTTCCCTTTTCTGCTGCGATGTCCAGAGAGAGAGAAAGCCATGGCGGAGAGAGAGGCGGATGGTGAGGAGAGAGAGGCGGATGGTGAGGAGAGAGAAAGTAGATCTACTCGTCGGAAAACAGAGGAGAGAGAGACGATGGTGAGGAGAGAGAGGCGGCGGAGAGAGCTTCGACGACGATGGAGGAGATAGAAGCGGCGCGGTGACGGAGAGAGAGAGGTAACGACGGCTGTAGAGAGAGTCGACGGCGACGGCAGCGGCGGCGGCGTGGAGAGACATCGTATCGTCATCTGAAGGAAGAACAGTGATTTGTATAGTTTGTATGTTTTGTAACATTAGTTTGTATTGTTAGTATTTTTGTACAAAATGTCTGTATGGTTTGTATGTTTTTCTTTGACAGTTTGTACTCTTAGTATGTTTTTCTTTGACAGTTTGTACTCTTAGTATGTTTTTCTTTGACAGTTTGTATTCTTAGTATGTTTTTCTTTGACAGTTTGTATTCTTAGTATGTTTTGCTTGTATTCTTAGTATGTTTCGCTTTGTATTGTAAGTACTAATAATTTGTATACTTTATATGTATTGATTTGTGATGCAAAAAACATTACAAACATGGTTGACAAAAATGTGGACAAAAATAACAAACATTACAAACAATACAAAAGAAACCAACAAACATTACAAACATTACAAAATAACAAACATTACAAACATTGCAAACAAACATTACAAACATTACAAACAAACATGTTAAACAGTACAAAGCATACTACACGTACAGAATATCACTACTTACAATACAGATTGGTAAACTTGTATTACAAGCAAATGAATACAAAGTCTACAAATCATAACATAAAAGTATACAAACTTGAATAACAAAAGTTACAAATACAAATCAATGAATAGAAAGTGTATAAATCATAACATAAAGTATACAAACTAGACAAACAAACATTACTAACATTACAAACATTACAATGTATACAAAATAGTAATATAAACATTACAAACATCACGAACTCAAATACTGTTGTCGGAAAACCATCCACCGCCGTCTCTGGTCGCCGGAAAATTGCTCCGCCGTCGCCGGAAAAGCTCTCTCTCTCTCTCTCTCTCTCTCTCTCTCTGAATTCCACTGGAATAATGATAATGGCCGATGGAGAGAGAGTCTGGGGCAATTGCCCTGCAATAATGGCGGATGGAGAAGAATTCTCCTGCCCAGAAATATTTTTGCCCGAAAATTGGACGGAGGCGGCGCAAGGGACGGGGCCGGAAATTGGACGGAGAAAGGAGGCGGCGCGGAGCTGATTTTTTTTATATTCATTTTATAATTAAAAATAAATATTAAACATGCAATTACTATATTGTCCTTCTTTAAAATGAATTAATTGTAGCCTTAGGATTTTAATGAGCATGGAAGGCTCAGATCGACTTAGCCAAGTGACTAAGGGGTACCCTTAGTCACCTGATCTTACCCCAGCTCGCAGGGAGGAAGAGTGATTCCCCGCGAAACTTCCTCTGCTCTCCCAAAGTCACCTTCGTGGTGGGGCCATGTCCACGTTCCTCCTTGGTCTCTTTCTCCATTAAACCATCCATGGTGCTGGAATCTTTTACATCTTCATGATCTGCAATCCTAGTTCCATCAATTTAATAGCAGCCATTTGCAACCCCGGCCCAGACAGCATTATTAACTCTGCCTCTCTCTTCCCTCCACGCCTTCACTCCGGCTTTTGACTCTCCCTCCCTCTCTCTCTCTCTCTTGAAATATTTGACTTCCTTGAATCGGGCTGTTTTTCTGGCTGCCCACTTCTCCGATTTTGCTGTTAAGACTCTGGAGATTTCCAGCTGGAGCGGATCATCATCGTACATGGTAGATCTTCTTCTCTGTGTTTTGAACAGAGAGAATACAAAGATTCAACCTTTGGGCTTTCTTTTCCCGTCTTCCACTTTTGCTGCTGGGGAATATGAATAGATCAGCCAGGCAACAAGTAGAGAGATGCAGGAAGGCCTTTTCCTGTAGCTGGTGGTGGTATCATGATTGAATCATCGTCACCTTCTTCCTCTGCTTGTATGTTGTTTTGTCTCTTCTCAATTCTCATTCCCTGCTCTCAGGTTTCGTTGATTCATTGATCTTATGTGTTTGAAATGGTGTGTTGTGTTTTCACAGGATGCCCTTCAGCCATCTGGAAGGAAATTGGACAATTTGACTTGTTTCGTCCTCTTAGCTAAAGAAAAATGTCAGCATATGCACACCAAATGGAGAGGGAGTTCTCTGCTGGCAGCCTCTCCAGTGGGGAAGATTCTGGTAACCAACCACCTTTTCTTCAAAGTAGCATGGAATTGATCTGCATTTTGTATCTGCATACATTATACGGATCGGTTGAGGCTCTTGTGTTTTCTTTTGTTGTTGTTCTTGGTGGGCTGTTTTGATCCAGAAGAGATGAGAAGCCGATATGTGATGGAGTCGGGATTCTACATGACATCATTCGCCGCAACAATGTTCATTGCTCTCCTTGTCACGGTAGGAGTGCTGATGATCAGCTTGCTCATTCTTCTGACAGTAATGCTCCAATCCTGCGAGAACAGGAGCAAAGGAGTCATCGAGCAGATGACGCTACAACAACAGCACACTACTAGCTTTTTGAAGAGTTACCACAACTGCAGAAGCTTTGCAGAGCTCAACAACCTCAAATCACCAGACTTATTACCTCCAATGTGCTGGGATCGTATTGTTGATCACCACAATCAGGCAGCCGCAGGTGGTGAATATGAGAGAGACTTGACGGCTAGTCTCTGGGTTGTCGAGGGATACTTCGATGGAGTCAAACCTTCTGTTGATAATGGTCAAGATGCTGTGGTATTGATTGACATAGACAACAGCATTATCTTCAACTCCAAGTAACCCTTCTCCTGGGATTTGTACTCAAACTTTGATTTCTTGAAAGCAAGAAGTAGTTTTTTCTTGGACCACCTTTCATTCACTATGGCAATATGCCTGTTCCTTGTTTTGCAGACAGTTTCGGCAACAAGTGCTGCTTCTGAGAGTGTACAAGAAACTTCAAGCTAGTGGATGGTCGCTAGTTTTGGTATCTAGAAATCCAGAGAAGCAAAGGAATGCCACTGAGGAGCAACTCGTTTCTGCAGGATATGGAGGTTGGTCCTCACTGGTTCTGAGGTAGGCTGACATAGAATTTGTTTTCATCTCTATCGAACAACAATTCAACACTAAAAAAAATCATTCTAGAATTTGGATTTTGATACTTGGCATGCGCCTCCGATGATGGATCATCCCTCATTTTCCAGACCAGAAGATGAAATGGAGCATTCTACAACTGAATACATATCAAGACAAAGAGTTCTTATGGAGACGAGAGGCATTCGGGTTGCAGCAATAATCAGCAGCCAGATGGATGCTCTGACTAAAGGTCCTTCAGGTTCAGGAACACGTGTCTTCAAGCTTCCAAACCCAGTATACTACTACAATGACTACTTTCAAGATTTCAGGATCTCAACAGAGCTGCCAGAAGAGACCGTTTTGACACAGTGACTGATTCCCTATTAATTAGCATCCTGGTTACCAATCTGCATTTGTGAATTGTTGTAGTTCCCAGCTTGGAAATTCTGTTGTAAATGAGAGAAATGCTGTTAATATCTTAGATAGAAAGATAAGTTGATTGATAGTTGCTTTATCGAAAGATCATCAACTGCAGGAATTGTTTGCTACATAAACAAGATTCAGTCTAATGGTGAAAAGAACGAGCTCGTAGCACCAGCCTCCTCAACCACGCAATCCGAACACTAGGGTTTTTCAACTCAAGAAAGATTTCTCTGTACTCTTTCTTCATGAACATATCCAATGCGAATAAATAGAGTTCACTCCCTTGCTCTATCTCTTTCATCCCATCGAGACGTTCAATGCAGTCTCCAATGCTGTAACTTGGTCTGGATTCTGCTGTCTGAGTTTTCACAAAACCTACATCATATTGCTGCATTATAAGTGGACTTGATTCGCCGTATTTTCTCGTTGGATCATCATGGTCGAGCCTTCTGCGCTGACTAAGTGGTTCAACATTGTAGTCTTCAACAACTGTTGTTCCCTCGAAGAGTAGGTCTAATTTGTCAGCAAATTGGAGTACTTTGAGCCGAAATTGGGCAGCTTCTGGGTATTCCTACAAGAGAGAGCAAGCAATGATGATATTATATTATCAATCAGTGACATATAACTGAACCTTTTATGATAGATTTTACATACATGGATATAGTTATTCCATTCCCTTTCAGTAGCACCAAATTTCTGGGCAACTGGATCCCATTTCATGTAACTAGTGGCAACCAGCTTAGACCAAATCCTCCACTGCTTCTTCACAGAATCCCAATGGTTCTTGAACTGGACCTTGTTTAGCATGACACCAGTCCTTGTGTAGAATGAATCAATAAGGTTTATCCATCCCTCCTTGGACAAATGAGATCCACGTTTATTACCAACCGAAACTTGCTCCAAACACAGATCAATGAAAGTTCTGTGGGATTCTTCAGAAGAAGTCCAGGAGAAGTGTGGCTTTCTTGATCTAACTGAGGTACTGCCAGACATGCTCTGTTCACTTGCTGCAGTTGCCCTTCCATCGTTATAGTAAAAAGCAAAACCACTATCCGAAGCATCTTCAAAGAGGTGGTTGGTTTTCACATCCTCTGGACATTCTAGAGACAGAGTTTCCCTACCATCTTCCAGGTTCATAAAATCAAAGACGATTTCCAGCTTTTCCCGATGTTGAAGTGGTTTGAACCGAAATATTCCAGCTTCAGGGTGCACCTACAGACATTCAACAGAAAACGTGCTCACTAACTAAGCAACTCAAAACAGAAACCAAATACTAACAATAACAGCAAACATACCCTCAAATAGTAGCTCCAATCTGCATCAGTTGCCCCGAACGAACCAGTTTCAGGGTTCCATTTCATCATTCTAGTGTTAACTAACTTGCACCAGGTTTTCCAATGCTCCTTTGTGATATCCCAGTGGTTTGTCAACTGCTTCTTGTCAATATGCAACCCATCTATTCTGTTCAATGCCTGTAATATATACTCCCATCCATACTTGGTGAAACACGTAGAGGGTCTATTACCCTTCAAAGTCTGATCCAGACAAGCATCCACGAATACTCTATGGACTTCAGGAGTCCAGTGTACTTTTGGTTTTCCCATCAATTCGGACGACATTTAGCAGTACTTAGTTCTCCTTGGCTCGCATCACATCACCACCACTACTGTAATAAGCAACTCAATAGGTTAACAGACGTCTCCGCAGCAAACCCAGAAAAAAAAGACGAATTGAAACAACCGGCCCAGTAAAAGTGATTCCCCCCAAGCGATTACTTAAGACATAATGCAAAGTTGAGCAAATCCCAGTTAATTTCGCGCCCCGATAACTGAAATTAAACGCTATATGATAATTGAGGACTTGGTGGAGGGTAATTGCAGAAAGTAGCCATAGACCTACCTGCAAATGCAACCCGGCGGAGCCCCATTTCACTGAAGAACTCTGCTTTTGGCCACCGAGTTTTCTATGTACTGTAATCTTACGCGAACACGAGCACTGAAATAGTGAAATTGACCCCTGGGGCTTGGGTGGGATTGTGGTGGGAACTGGGAAGAAGATCGTCTATGGAAGAAGATCGTCCATTTTCTTACGCTGACAGGTAGTCAGGTAGAAGACTCTTTTCTAGGCCCAAAACAAGCAGCCCAACTTGCTCAGAAGCCCAAACCCCCCAAAAGCACAGTGATCCAAATAGTTTTGATTATTAATTAATTGATTTAAGTTCAACTTGAGTTAACCATTATCTGTGTAAAATCCATGAACCAATTAAATAATTAATCATGCAACTAATTCAACTAGAGTGATCACAAATTCTCTGCTAATCAGAATTCGGAATTCAGATGAAACAAACCAATTCAGGGGAGCGAATCGTCATTATTATTCATCATTACAAAACTGTAGTTACAGGAGGAAATTCCTCAATCTGATTCCATCTAGAACACTATGAACAGTTCAATCAAAATTGGAATCAAGCTATGAAACCACAAATCCCAGATCAATTCACAGAAAAAATTACTCCGTACAACAGAAGATCACCATATCAATCCCCCAATTTGATTTCAGGGTTGTTCGGACGCCATTCTTAGATCTACTGGTACAACAAAGATGCGAGCACAACGGTGGACAGAAGAAGCAATCTCCCCAAAGGAATGGTGTTGTTCCTAGAAGCAGAGGAGAAATCGAAGTGATATTTCTTACTCATGTTTGGGTGTAGAATGCCCCAATTGTGCGCCCCCTGCTGCAGCGGCAGCTGCTGCTTCGGATCGGATTCAACCAGCTCGTAGATGTAGGCCTGAGCCACCCCATCTTTCCTCAGCGGCGTTCCCTTGCCGGAGATCAAGTGTGCCACCAACGACTTCAAGTACAACTTAGCGTACGCCGGATTCGCGTCGGCGTCGGCGGCGGCGCTGTCCACTGCCGAGCTTGGCCATCCCGTCTCGGCAACGACCAAGGGGATGTTCTCGTGGCCGGCGACCGCCATGGAAGTGACGACAGCATCCACCATCATATCGAACAGATTGAGGTACCGGACTCCAGTGGCCAAATCGTCGCGGAAATTGAAATTGCCTCCCTGAAACAGAGCCAATCCGAGCGGGATCTGAAAGTGCAATCTGTACATGTTGTACGGGTAAAGATTCACCAAGAAGGAAGAGTTGGTGTCTTCCAAGAACTGGAGCAGCGGCCGAATCACCGCCTCGCCGATCGGCTCCTGGAAAGTGGCCGCCGAGGGAGGGAACGCCGTCGTCACGATTTTGATGAAGGAGAATGTCGTGGAGACGGAGATCGATCTGATTCCGATGTCTCTGAGCGCGAGGTGGACGTTGCGTATGGCAGGAAGCAGGATCGAGATCTGTGGGGCGGCGACTGCGTCTTCTCCGACGGAGATTGTGGCGATCTTGGAGCGCGGATAGAAAGGGAGGACGTGGACGCGGAGCCACTTGACGGCCAGAGTGCGATTGGAAGCCAGCGGGGGGAGGAGGCCGTTGGGAATTGAAAGAAGCAGGGAGGTGTTGGTGAAGGCGAAGGCTCTGACGAGGTTGGGATCGGGATGCGTGAGGCGGACGGCGCCGAAGCGGAGATCGGAGACGGCGGAGACGATCTTCTCTGGATGGGCGCGCTGCTGTGGCGGAGGAGTCGGCAACGACGAATTGCCATCGGTTGAGGAGGATGGCGGCGAGGGGAGAGGAGAAGTGTAAGTGACGCCGATTACGGAGGCGGAGGATGTGCTTGGAGCGGAGAGGGTGGAGGAAAGAGAGAGCAGGAGGAGGTGGAAAAGCTTCAGCAGAGCATCCATGGCGGTTCTTGGCTCGGAATCTCTGCGGAGAGTGAGAATTTGGGAGAGAATTCTAGAGGGTGGAAGTTTGTTGTGGGCGAAATGAGATTCTGTTATGCGCAGTCGAGACTCGAGAGCGTGCTTTTGAGTCTGAGCTTATAAGGCGGCGATGGCGGATGAGCTACTAACCGCTCGATTCGGATGATGACGTCGGCATCGCTGGCCGGGAGTTGGGCGGGAAGGAGGAGGGAGAGCGAGGTAAGTGAATTAAGGTCGGGGCAAGGGGGGGATTCGGGTCGGTTCATCTCCATTGGTGCAATTGCATTTGTTTTTTTATTGTTACTTCATTTTTTTTAATCCAACTCATCTTCCGTACATTGCACCACATCAATGCAATTAACTTGCAATTGTAATTAATTTTTTTATTTAATTTATTGAAACATAAACACTCAAATAATAAAATTAATAAATAATTTAATAATAAAAAAGATGATGTGGCTTGCATTTCATAATTGTATTATATGCAAGCTCGTAAAGATGCAATTGTCATCTACATCAATGCAATTGCATAATACAATTGCAAATGAATGTTATATCATAATACAATTCTAATTGCAATTCCAATAGAGAATTCGAGATGCTCTTGTGCTGTGGGAGTGTGGGTTTGCGAGGCGCGTGGGAAAACAATATACTTCGCGTCGGTGTTGTAGTTTTGAACCCGTTTTCATTTTTCGGGCTCATTAAGAAAAGCCCAACTCAAATATATGTGCAAGTGTTGCCACTACTAGCCCATAATGTCAGCTGCAGATTTTTACCTCTTTGTTCCTTCCCATCTTCGCTGTTAATTGTGATGGGAATAAAAGGTTCAGCTTTTACAATTGGAATTAAAAAAACGCTTCATCGTCTTAGTTTTGTTTGTAATCGTAGCTTCAAAGGTAAAACAAGGGTCTTCGTAGTTACTACTTACTATTACACTTGGGAGAACAAGGTTCTATAATTTTTGTTTTGGAATGATGGATAAGTATTATCAAAATCAGAATAAGTATTATCTATTATTCGAAAACTATTTTATGTTAAATTTATAATACTAGTTCATACGAAAAATACAACCTCAATTAACTAAATAATTTCTACCACGACAAACTTAGAACTTTGTTGGATTAGAAGAATCCATATGCTTATTGATGATACAACACCAAATACAAACATTCAATATGTCGGCTCGATCACACTAATATATTAATTTAAACATTTTAATTATTTTATGGTTCCAAAGTAGATTATTTGGAGCTATGGTATTCTTGCTCAATTTTTTTTTTTATGAATCGAATTTTTCATTTTGTCAAAAAGGGTGCTGAAAACAACCTTGCTAGTTAGGTTTTCTACCAAGGGGAGGAAGCCGTTACAGTTAATAACAACAATTTGTAAATCTAACTATCATAAAACAACCTTGCTAGTTAGGTTTTCTACCACGGGAAAAGAGACTGGTTATAAAATAACAAATTTAGGTAAAGGACACGCATTTACGTACGGGATATTATAAATCCAGATGATTCAAAAATTAAGTAATGATGGATCAAAAGTTGATTTCATCTAAACAAGTAGGTGGATTATGTAATATTAATTTGTTTGTTTGTCGACAATAAGATGGGAGAATACAGAATTGTAATAAGTGAGTGATAATGGCCGGGTTTAAAGTTGAATATCCAAACAAGTACATGTTGTATCAATAATCTATCGAGATTCGAGGCTACACTGCATATATGATATATGTATTACTTTAAAAGCAAGTGTTCGAATTCCAAGGGGAAAGAACACTTGTAGAATCGGTGTTTCTTAATTAAGTTCATCAGAGTAAACAAGGCATTATATTTGAGGGAGACCAAGAACACTGGTAGACTAGTAAACTAAAGTCGATACCACGAAAGAGTTGGAGTTGGTTGAGCTAAGACTAACAGGGCATAAGAGATGGTTAATTAGCTGGGTTTTTCTTTCCTCCTTCACTTTCCATGCATGCTTTGTGAGAGCTAATTTTGCGCTGCGCTCCTCAATGATCTGCATTTTTCTAGTATATCGTAGGGCAGGATGAATAAGGAACAATGTAATCACACGGGTTTACTGCAAATCCAGGAAAGAGAATCCAGGGTGGTATCTACTATCTTGTTTGTGGGCTAGCTCTTTAATTAAGCTGATGCATGCATGCCTGTTCTTTAATTTTGACCCTATACTTTAGCACCCTCTTAATTACAAGATAGAGGAGATCAACTTCTCAACTGTAAAACTGATAGATGTTTCAGATGTGGCAACAATGATAGGATAGTACACGCACAGTACGGCCAAGATCCTCAACATATATTATTGTCCTCGGTCAGTTTCATTGTGTTAAACACCCAAAACGGACGCAAGAGGAGACGGATCTAAGAGTGCACGGAGATGACTCCCAGCTGCTAGGATAGGATTTCGCAAATTATGTTAGGCTGCGGATGGGGTTATTATCCGGACAAGCGCTCTCAATATACTCCTTTTGAAGGCCCAGATTGAGTTTTTGGGATTTTATAGGCGCTAAGAAAACTCACAAAATTCCAATCCTTCTCTATTGGGATACCACGTAAATTCTGTCTTTTCTCGTTTACGTTATTTCTGATTGATATATTTTACTCAACGCAAATGTAATCATAAGTTAGTCATCGATCGATAGTTCGATACACTCTCTGAAGCAAGCAACAATCCAAAATGGACAAGGATGAATAAGAGCGAAAATTAGAATGAGATTCCAATTAATGCCTTTAAACTCTCAATATTTTCAATGAAATCCAGAATTGACTAGCTACCAAAACAAGTAGGATAATTTCACCATTTCCATTCATTTTGCTTCTTGTTCTCCGGAAGTTTTAACTTTTAAGTCATCGTGAGGATATCTCTTATTTTTGGGGTACGTAGCTAGGCGTAGCAAAGATCTTTTGAAGTCTGCGTTCTATTAGCTGCTATATTCTCAAACTGGGTCTTCAAACGATTTAAGAAAGGTGCGTTTGGACTTGTATTCCCAAAAGATCAACAACAACGGAACGGAAGGCTCATCTATTGACTAATTTGATTAGAATTAATTGTGTTCCAGTCAATTAATGGTGCTCTTTGAGCAGCTCGTTGGTTACTACAACGTAACGTAACAAGAAACCACGTATGGGCATATATAGCGGCCGTAACCCAAAAACAAAAACTAGAAAAGGAAAAAGATACGTGTGTACGTAAGTGTGTTGATGATGGGCTTTGATTTGATTTCCACCGCCTGCTTCATCGATCAGAGATCATCC